CCAGCCCAGGTGCACCTATGGCTGACGCGCCGCTGTTCTTCAAGCTGGACTCTGGTGCGTCGAAGTGCTTCTTCCGCGACCACACGACTCTCACACTGCTTCTTGGTCCTGTTTCGATTGCCCTGGCTAATCCTACTTCAGGACCAGCAGTTGCACGCAGGTCTACCACCCTCCCGTGCCCGGTTGTCCCCTCTAGTCTCCTCACTTGTCTCCACATCCCTTCGTTCACTCGGAACTTGGTGGGTGTTGGATACCTTCAGGATCAGGGGATCACAATCACCTTTCCTAAGCACGGGAGGACTGCGATATATACCGACGCTTCCACTGGGTCACTTCTTGCCACGTTCACCAGGGAGCCTCGCTTCGGTTTCTACGTTCTGCACATTGCGTCCCCCGAGGTAGCTGCGACTGGTCAGGTTGCTGCGTCTGGTCTGGTTCTTGCGTCTGGTCAAGTTGATGCGTCCAGTCAGGTTGCTGCGTTGTGATCTTGTCGGTCATTCACCTATCCGACAGTCCAGTGGCGCCACCGTCGTGGTCACCTGTCCCTCCGTCCAGTGGCTAGCTAGTGTCTTGTCACGGGTCTCCCGCCTTCGCCTGCGCCGTCGTGCACCCTTGCGTTGAGGGTCGGCGTGCGCGCCACTCCTCACTCCTCATCGCTTCGTCCGACTACAACACCCTTCCAGACTCTCCAGACGTCTAGGGCCCAGCGCCTCGACTTGGGCGCGAGAGGGGGCACTACTTTTTGGTGGTTGTTAACGACTACTTCAGGTACACCAGGGTGTTTCCCTTGGCGAAGAAGTACGACGTGACTTCTAAGTTGATCAGGTGGTTATTGACCACTGAGGCCACCCATGGTAGTCGTGTCTTTTGTCTCCACTCCGACCGTGGGGTTGAGTTTCACTCAGGCGTCCTTGCCGAATTCTTCAGCGACCAGGGCATCACCCAGTCATGGACGCTTCCGGAGTCCCTATAGCAGAATGCGGTTGCTGAGCGCCGCATCGGCTTGGTCACGGAGACCGCCTGCACCTCAATGATCCATGCCCTTGCGCTCAATTTTCAGTGGCCCTACGCAGTTCGCTACGCCGCCCACCAGCTGAACCTCTGGCCTCGTGTCTCACGGCCAGAGGCTTCACCGACCAGTCTTTGGACCGGGTCCCCTGGTGTTGCGTCGGAGTTTCCTGTCTGGGGCTGCCTTGCGCTTGTCTGCGATACCTCTGCGAACAAGCTCTCGGCTCGCGCCATTCCCTGTGTCTTCCTTGGTTTCTCAGTGGCCGCTCCTAACTTTGCATTTTACCACCCGCCTCTCCGCCAGTTCCTCAACTCCTGTGACGTTCATTTCGACGAGGTCATGTCCTACTACGCCCTTCTCCCACCGAGGTCTCCCGGTTCCTCCCCCTCCCCTCTTCCTTGACCCCACTCCTCCTGCTCCCGCTCCTCTGGAACCCCCACCCCCTCCCCTCCCTGGTCTTGCCCGTCAAGTGTGTCTCATGCTACCCCTCTCCCCTCGGTAGCACGTCAAGTGTCGTCTCCCTCCCAACAGTCCTCCTCACAGTCACCTCAACAACCTTTGGCACTACCGCGACAGCACTTCAAGTGTCGTCTCCCTCCCCACGGTCTTCCTCACAGTAACCTTAGTAGCCTTCGATAGGTTGCAATCGACTCAAGGGGTGTTGGAGCTGGAGGTGCTAACACTAGAGGTGCTCGTTCGGGGGGAGCTCGTTCTGGGGGTGCTGGAGCTGGAGGTTCTGGCACTGGAGGTGCTGGTTTGGGGAGTGCTGGAGCTGGAGGTGCGGGCACTAGAGGTGCTAGTTTGGAGGTGTTGGTGCTAGGGTTACTGGCCTTGGAGGTTGTGGTTTTGGGTTTGCTGGCACTGGGGGTGCTAGTTCTGAGGGGGTTGGAGCTAGAGGCACTACTACTTTGGCGCCTTCTCCGCCTCCCCACCATCACGACACACGTTACTATGCTGCTTTTCAGCGTGCGCGCGAGGAGCAAGAGAGTTTGGAGCAGGAAAGGCAGGAGCTGCAGCAGAAGTTGCAGTAGGAGCAGCAGCAGCAGTGGCCGCAGCAACAGTTGCAATAGCAGCCGCAGCAGCCGCCCTTTGTAGCAGTTGTTCCGACCTGTGAGTGGCCTTCGGGCCCTTGGTCTTCCCTCCTCTCCTCCTGTCCGCTCCCACTCTCCCCCTTCCTTCGCTCCTACGTTTCCTCCTCCGGACTCGTCACCAGCTGTTTACTCTCCTCCTTGGTCCCCGTCACCTCCTCCTGTTGCCCCGCACTCTCATCTCCGCCCCTGTTTCCCGCGTGCTCATCCCTGGTCTCCCTTTGACAACCTCCGCAATGCCCTCATTTGGTCTAGTCGCCTTTGTTCTCCATCTGCGTCTGTTCTCCTGCCTCCTCTACCCCTATCTCTGACTACTAACGTGCTACTCGCCCTGTTCTCTCGCGTGTTCTCACCTCTCTTGTTACCGACCCTCGTGCCGCTTCGCCGTCTGTCTCGGCTCTTACTGCCGCTGTCGCTGACTTTGTTGCCACCCACCGCCTTGACTTTGCCACAAGTGTGGTGGCTGTTCCACCTACCCGTCCTCTATCCGCTAGGGGTGAGTCTGTCCTCTCTCTGTGCCATGCTGCTATCCCCTGAGAAGGAGACCCGGACGCCTTTGACATAGCGACTCCTCGCACGTACCGTGAGGCAGTGTCAGGGCAGTGGGCCTCTCAGTAGAAAGCGGCCATGGACTCAGAGATGGCGTCTTGGAGATCCACAGGCACTTACGTCGATGCAGCTCCCCATCTCAGGGCGAACGTAGTCGATGGCATGCGGATCTTCAAGTGAAGCGGCTGCCTGGATCACCGCGTGTATTCAAGGCGCGCTATGTGGTTGGGGGCTTCAGTCAGCGTGAGGGAATTGACTTCTTCCAAAGTTTTGCCTCGACCCCGAGGATGATTACTCTTCAGGTATTACTTCACATAGCAGCTCAGCGAGACTACGAGCTGCACTCCCTTGATTTCTCCACTGCCTTTCTCCAGGGCCGCCTTCACGAGGAGATCTAGGTGTGTCGTCCTCCTGGCTTCACTGGCACTTTCCCGCCTGGGACCCAGTGGAGCCATAGGTTACTTGTCTATGGTCTCCGCCAGGCGCCCCGTGAGTGGCACGACACGCTACGCACCACTCTTGCTGACCTCGGGTTCCACCCTTCGTCCGTCGACCCGTCGCTATTTGTTTGCAGAGGCTCCACTCCTTTCTTTGTCCTTGTCTACGTTGATGAATTGGTCTTTGCTACGGCTGACACATTTTTTCTGGCCAAGGTGAAGTTCAAACTGCAAAAGAGACACACGTGCACTGACCTGGGTGAACAGTGCCGCTACCTTGGTTTGCATATCACCACGGAGGTGGCTACGATCGCTGCGGCAGTGGCTGCTGTGACGTTTGTGGCTGCGGCTGTGGTTGTTGCTGCTGCTGCCGTCGATGCTGAAGCCTCGTGAGGTAAAAGGGTCAAGGCGGAGCAGAGGGCGCAGTACCAGCGTCTCCAGCTCCAGCACCCCCAGAAGCAGTACCTCGAGCTCTCGCACCCCCAGAACCAGCACCTCCAGGGCCAGTACCTCCAGCTCCAACACCCCCTGAACCATCAATTCCAACTCCAGCACCTCCAGCTCCAGCACCCCCACAATCAGCACCTCTTGTGCTAGTACCTCCAATGCCAGCACCCCCAGAGGCAGCACCTACAGTACCAGCACCTCTAGTGTCATCACCACCAAAGTCCACTGCTACCTGCCGCGGTAGTACCAAAGGCTTCTACGGTGACTGTAAAAACGACTGTGGTGAATGAGTCAGCACTTGACGTGCTACCGAGGGGAGAGGGGAAGCGTGAGACTCACCTGACAGGGCAAGACCTGGGAGGGATGGACGTACCGGAGGAGCAGGACCAGGAGGAGTAGTGGGAACGAGGAAGAGGGGAGGAAGGGGGTAAACGGGAGACCTCGGTGAGGGTAGCGGACGAAGAGGGACATGATTCATCAAACGTGACGACGTCACGGGAGATCGATCGTAAGCTCATTGAGGTGCTTTTGAAGAAGCGCGGCGCGAGAAGAGAAGCAGCCAGGGAGACAGGTGGCTATCCAGTGGAGGGTGCACTGTACCTTGTTCTATTGTAGGTGACAGGATTCTGGTTGGACAGCTAGAGGAACACATTGTGCTTAGCTTAGAACAGTTTCCGGCAGGGGTTTTTTTATCAGAGTAAATTACTCTGTTTCGCTGAAAATCAGAGTGGTTTTTAGGGGGTCACTCTGACGTGTCTGGGTAAGTTTTTTGGAGGATAAGTTTTCTCTGATTTGTCAGGGTTCTGATTTTAGCTACTCTGAGAGACCAGTGTATATTTGTGGCGGATGTACTTTTCTCTGTGGGTGAAACAGAATATATAATGTTCGTAAGCCGTCCAAACGATGACTGCGTAGCACAACGCTTACCGTAATTTTTTGGTAGGAGTGCAGAAGGCCTGGGTTCAATACTTGAGAGGGCACTCAGAGTTGGAAAAATAGGTACACTGGGTGCCCAGAGTAATTTTTTCAGAAGTGAAGTTTTCTCTGACAAATCAGAGTAACGCTCATAATGAACCCTGAATTTCAGAGTTCCCTAGAAAACAGCTCTGGAAATCCGAGTAGTGAAAATCCAAAAAAAAGCCCTGGTTTCCGGTAAGGGATTGCCATGTCCTATATAATATGGACACCATGACTGACTGACAGCCATCCCAAGGCAGCGCAATTACGAGACGCGCAGCAGTGGTGGCTAACTGGGAATGCCATGCCATGCCATGCCATGCCTTGCCATGCCACACAGCTGATAGACACCTATCCAGGCACGTTTGGCGTGTGGTCACACTTGAATAATAGCAATTGCAAAATTCTAACTGTACAATTTCGTACATGCTAAGACTAGTTGATCCAGTCTCACCAGTGACTTCCCCATCACCCACTACGGTATAAGTTCAAAGAATGATATCTCCTCCTTGTTCAAGCCTTGTATTTGCACGCTGCTCTCTTAGCCCTCATGCACTGCCCAACAGCATCCCATCTTGCCATGCCCTGCTTCTTGTACTGCGCATACACACTCTGCTTCACACACTCCTTCCACACAGTATCACACCCTGCAGGCTTGTGCAGAGGGCAGTTGGCAAAGGGGTAGCGAGGGCCGGTGCCAAGGGAAAAACTGCAGAGGTTGGTGTTGAACCCGTGAGCGTTGCTGATTGCACACATAGCCTGACGAGAGAGAGAAAGAGGTGGAAGAAGTGGGGACAGAGAAGTAAGGGTTGACAATTGAGTTGACATTGCAAGGTGGAAGTTAAGGTGAGGTTGGAAAGAGGGGAGCGGCGACAGACGGGGAATAAACAGCGAGCCACTTCAGAAAAGAACACCATGAACCCGGAGATCAAATGACCCTCACCACATGTCTGACTAACCGTGTGCTGGGAATAAGGTATTGGCTATCATCACAATCATCATAAGCTGACCTGTGGGAACGCGATGCCGTTTACTTGGCCTGCAGACGTGCCCCAGAGCTCCTTATACTCAATGGAGAACACGGCCTTGTTGCGCACAATAAACTCGTTGGAGTAATCGCATGCGTATTTGCCACTGTACCACGCGTTGTTGCTAAAGTCGCTGAAGTAAATGCAGCTCTCGATTATCGCCCAATCGAAGAGGTTCGCCATGAAGGAGGGGGCAAGCGGGCCGGGGTTCTTGAGGCCCACTGACATGCCGTACCTGATAAGTAAGGCGTTGGGACGGGAATGGGGATAGAAGGGAGGAGGCGGGAAAGTAAATTGCGTGGGTACATGCAACAGACGTCTTGGGATCCACTCACATGCCACCTGGCAGGGGGGAAGTGGAGGGAGCATGTGAGAAAGGGGGGACGAAGGCAGGGGGGGAACGGGGAAAGGGGGGCCTGGAAGGGGATTGTTTGTGGGGACGAAAGGGTGAAGGTTTGGAAGAGCATTGGAAGCATTGAGCATGGATGAATTTTGTGTAACAATGGGAGAGGGAAAGGGCCAGCAGTGGAGGGTGGTAACTACACAACGCTCTTAACGACAAGAGGCACAATGCGGTATGGCTTGAACAGTCACCAAACCTTTTATATTGAAAACCACTGGTTTACGACTCTCATTGTCATATTGCGGATTTGCAGCAACAATAGGAGCACAGAACCAGCAGGAAAAGATTCATGAGGACATCACTCACTTGTGAACAGTGTTGGCGATCCATGAGTTGTACTTGAACTGATCATCGGCAGTGATGGTGAATTTGCTGATGGGTTGAGCCATAATGTTGTTCGAATACGCGTTGATGTTGTCAGGGTCAACCCCATCGCACCCCTTGCTCTTCGCCAACTGACATGCGGGAAAGAAAAGAGGATGGTGGGACAGACATCAGGAGCTACCGACATAGGTTGTAAACATGGGTATTCATTCAGCATGGTATGGCTCAGCATGGTGCAGCCCCGGAAAAAAAGGCTATATGTGTTACAGCTCCATATGTTACAGCATGTCTCACCTTGACTCGCCTCCATGATCGTCTTCACAATGTGGCTCGGCTCGTGATGTCAGCCACCTCTCCCCAGGCCACACATCGGTAACCGGTTACCCTCCAATCACAGGCAGGTGATGCATAGGGGAAGTGTGGATGCCTCACCTTGATTCGCTTCTCCATTATAGTCTTGACGATGGGGCTCTTGATGTCCAGCCACCTCTCTCCAGGCCACACCTCCGTGCACTGCTCGTTCTGCTCACACGCAGCAAGCAAATGTTCGACACGACTATGACGAAAATGAAAGTGCAAAAAAACTCATTTTCTCGACATAAGCCTGTCACAACCGCGAAAGGCGATTCTTGAATTGCTGAAAAAGGCAAAAGAAAACCGTATCCTCTGCGGACTGATAAAAGTGGAAGCATCAAGTACCGTACCCTGCAAGTGAGTCCCCCAATAACGGATTTCGGGAACTGGTTGTAGTCGCTGCGGTAATCCTCGGCAGTCCCGAAGCTGATGTAACACATCACCGCCTTTCCCGCGTTGCGAAGTTTCGCGATGCTCTTCGCCGTCAAGCTGGAGTCAACGGTGTAGACCTTCGCCGGGTGTGTTGGATCCACGTCTAGAGGTTTTCGAAAAAAGAAAAGGCGAACAAACAGCACTTCAGACGCAAACGATGGTTTCGGTACATTGCGCGAGCAATAACAGGTGACCGACCATGCGAGAATGTCGGGTATTCACATTATGAAGCTAATTACGAACAAGGTTTCAGGAAGGCGATTACGAAAAGGAAAACGAACGGTCAATAGTACCAGCGTCACTTCCGCTTAGTTGCCAGAAGAACGTGGTCCCTGGTTTCGGCTCATACCACCCGTTAACTCTCCCACAATGGCACATCGAAAGAACGGCAAGGAGGGCGAGGATGCTAGGATAAACGCGAAATAGTGCCATTGTAAGCGTAATAATCGTATGAGCTTAGCACGGTGCCGTCAGCGTGGTAGTTATCTTGTTTCTATGTGATCACAATGAGAGTACGATTCCAGGATATATAGAATATATGGCGTGTGCCGTCGTGTGGAACGAGTCGCATGTGAGCGTGAGCCATGTTTCCTAAGCCAAGGAACGTCTTGCCACGTGGCAAAGAGAAGTGAGTTTCATGGAAGCTCTCCAAGAAAAGCTACGTCTGTTGAATTTTGGACTCGCGTCGCGTCTCGACGTCCACTTTGGATAACGGGAGGTAGCAGAGGCGCGCAGAACCTGGGCTGCACGATGTAGCAAGTAACCTGCTCGCAGGATCTCGCTAGATGAGCTCGCGAGTGTCTACCTAGTGTGATCTGTTCGCAAAGCCGAACCCTTCGCGAGTATCTTGGAGGGCTGCGTTACACGCAGTAGATTTTCAGGGATCCAGATTCCAGCGCAGCACCGAGCTGGTGGTAGCGAGAAATCTGGTGACCAACAAATTTCTCAACGAAAACAACCTGAGGTGGGGACCACTGTGATCCGCTATTGTTGTTGTATAAGTGTATTGAACAGGCGAAATAAAATACTGTACAACAACCCCTATGAAATTTCTGTTGTCAGACACGGCTACACATCGTTAGTCTCCACGTTTCAGTTTTCAACGCCCCCGACATCACAAGCCGCAGCAACAGGAAAGCAGGAACGACGTTGCACCCAGGCGGACGACGTCGCGTCGCGGGTCACCAAGATGAGCACCAACGTCGCTGCTGCCTACACTCAGCTTCCTCCATGAACCACCACACACCAATAATTCTCTTCCCACTTGGGAAAAATCTTTCAACGCGACGCCAGAGCATGCTCACTGGAGCGTCATTATCAGAAAAGCAACGCGCCTCGCCACGTGGCATAAGGATTGGAGTGAAGGATTGCCGAATGCTAGCGATGAAGTTCCCTCTAGGCCAACGCGTAGCTTTGGCAGTACAACTGCTGTTTCCCGCTGCGGTTCGGCAGGCACACAAGCCGAAGCGCCGAAGTGTCGGATGATTTGAAGGCGTATAAAGCAGATGCACTGGCCGTGGCAAGACAAAGTACTAACCTTATCCGCCTCCTTATACATTACCTGCACAACTCACTTTCCCGCGACGTACCGCCTCGGCACCCCTTGTACACCACAACCCTACCGCCATGTATGTGATTGCAAGAAGCCTTCGCGTTGTCGTCTCTCTGACATTCGTCGCCGTTTGCCTCGCTGCTAACGTCACGAGCAACGGATGGTACGTTCCCACGCCGGGAACGTCCTTCTACTGGCAGATCTCTGACACGAACCTCGAAGCGTCGTCGCATAATGAAAAGGTCTTCGATGTTGACGGGTTCAGCGTGTCGGCGAGCACTATATCGAGGTTGAAAACGATGGGAAAGAAGGTGATTTGCTACTTCAGCTTTGGGACTGCCGAGGATTATCGCAGCGACTACAACCAATTTCCGAGATCCACTCTCGGTGGTTTGGTGTGCCAAGTGAGTTCGAATGCAAATAGCTTACACGCGTTAGAGGTCAAGTTCTATAATGAAGACTCGTTCAGTCGCTTACCTCGTTTTTTGTCACCTGGCCTTCATCGTTTACCTTGGATTTCGCTTTCTTTTTGGCAGAACCAGGACTGCTCGGAAGCATGGCAGGGCGAGCGGTGGCTGGATGTGAAGAGGACTGCCGTGCGTCAATTACTGGAAAAGCGGATTCAGGTAAGACGAGTGTCAAACAGCTTCTTGTGCAAATTGTGCATCACGCATGCATAGCTGGAGGTGTGAAAAATGAGAGATTCCGTCTTTTCCGTCAGCCTTTCGTGGTCCAAGTCCTGACTTGCCCCTTTCAACTCCCGCAGTCGCTTGTCCCATCCCGTTGACAGCTGGCCAAGCGCAAGGGGTGTGACGGCATAGAGCCGGACAATGTGGATGCATACAATGGAAACATAATGTTTGAAGCCATCAGCCAGTTCACCATCACGAGAAAGAACCAGCTCAACTTCAACGCGTGGATTGCGAATACAGTGCACAAGTAAGTCCGCCTGTCTCCTGCTTCAGTTACGCTTCTGGCCAAAGGAGCTGTGTTTTGGTACAGGATTGGCTAGAAATGGAGGAGATGAAGCAGGTAGAAGGTAAGTATTTTTCAGGAAAGTTTGCAGTGGCCAGTAAGGATGACCTTAATGTCCAGTCCAAACCCAGAATCTACACATTTACTCCACAGTCCAGACCAACTGCTCTGAGTCCACCCAACATATGAGTCAGCGAAGTGCGTGATCTTGTCCCATGAATGCCAACTACCTGTAACCACATGGGACCACCTTTTTTTTTTCTTCAGGCATAACATATAAGAATTCTAGCCCTTTTTCTTCCTCGGAGCTTGAAGAGCTCACATGCTACTACCTCCCTTTTCCTTCCTTTTCGCCTCACCTTCCTGTTCAAACCCTCTCCCTCCCCTCCCCCGCTTCCCTCCCCTGCCACCCTTTCTTATCAGGTACAGCCTTTCAATGCCTTTAACATGTTTTTTCCTTTTCCCGCCTTCCTTACCAGGTACAGCATGTCAGTGGGCCTCAAGAACGCTGGCTCCCTCGCTCCCGCTTACATGGCCGGCCTGTTTGACTGGGCGCTGGTGGAGGAGTGCAACCAGTACACGGATTGGAGTGGTGGAGAGTGGTACAGCGGCAAGTACGGGTGCGACTATGCCAACGAGTTTATTCTTCGCAACAAGGCGGTGTTTGTGGCTGAGTATGTGGAGAGCTGGGGCAACTCCGCGGGAGTGAAGAATGGCATTCGATTCCCGCAGGTGAGTTGGAGTTTCGCTGAAAGAATAGTGGAAGGATGTTACAGTACACAGATTGTGGTGGAGAGTGGTAAGGAATGGTAATGAAGGCTGCGACTATGCTAATCACTGAGTTATTCTTCAAAACAAGTCTGACTGTGCGGAGAGCTGGGCCTTGTTAGAATCGACGAACACAGGTGGGCTTAGATCCTCAAGGGATAGTGCAAGCGTGCAACCTCGTCGATCGAGTTTTGAGTCGTCCCAAAACTCGTGGTGGAAAGTAGTAGTACTAGCAGGGAAGAATGAGTTTGTTGCTGGCAATGAGCTCGTGTTGTTTTGCAAAATATGCATAGCTCTAGGAACCTTCAGCTGGAGCTCAGAGTGGATCATGGTCTTCACAGGCTGGACATGTTCTCTTCAGTTCAGAGTATCCTTGAAACTTCTGGTGGATAATGGTGTTCACTCCTGCCTTTCATTTATCTTCCGCTTAAGCTCATCATGCATTTTCCTTCCTGCATCGGCTAGCTCCTCGAATCCATGATTGCTCGCACAGCAATCAAGTATGTTCCATCACTGTTACAATCTACCTCTCCATCTCTTACCCCCGGCTCTTTCTGACTCTGTACCTCACACAGGGTATGTGTGCTGACAACAATGCTCATGGCTTCACGACTCGCCTCTACGACCTTGACTTGGGGAACGGGCCAAGTTATGCATTTGCCAACTGCCTGCAGCACAAGCCTGGAGGATGCAATGTGTGGAGGGAGTGTGTCAAGCCCAGCGTGTTTAACCAGTACAAGCAGCAGGGCATGATGAGATGGGATGCTGTAGGGCAATGTGCCAGGGCTAGGAGAGCTGCGTGTAGGTATACTTAACTGTTGGCTGTGTTTCTCTAGAGAAATCAAAAAAATATGTTCTAAATGTCAAATGTTGTAGCCTGTAGTGAGGTTTGTCTTAGGGGGCACAAATGTTAGGGTTTGCTATATGTACCCCAATCCTCATCAATAGCACAACACTTGCATTCTTGACATGGTATCACCTAGGTTAGGTTCCTGTGGGATCCCGCACCTCTCGTCCTCTTTCGTTCCGCCCGAGCCTGTCTCGCTCTCTCGTACCTATCTTGCCCGAGCCTAGCGCCGGCCCAATCCAGTCTCGCTCGTTCGTTAGCGCCGGCCCGATCCAGTCTCGCTCGTTCGTTAGCGCCGGCCCGATCCAGTCTCGCTCGTTCGTTAGCGCCGGCCCGATCCAGTCTCGCTCGTTCGTTAGCGCTCGCTCCGCCGACCCGCTTTCCGCGTAGCGTAGCGCCTTCCCCCCTTGCCCATAGCGTCGCGCTCTCCCCGGCTTCCCCTCCCGCCACGCCCTCCCCCGCTGCTCGTCGCGACGTGCCCTCCCACCCTGCCCGTCGCGTCGCGTCCTCCCCCCGCTGCCCTAAACGCCCGCTCGTCGTCGCCGAGGCGCCCCGCATTTCGTCGCCGTGGCGCCCCGTGTTTCGTCGCCGCGGCGCCCCGCATTTCGTCGCCGCGGCGCCCCGCATTTCGTCGCCGGGGCGCCCCGCATTTCGTTGCCGCGGCGCCCCGCATTTCGTCGCCGCACCTGCCCGTACCGCCCGCCGCCGCACCTGCTCGTTAGGCCCGGCCGCGGGCCCGCTCGTCCCGTCGCCGTGCCTGCTAGTTAGGCCCGCCGCGGGCCCTCCCGTAAAGCCGCCGCGGGCCCTCCTTTCAAGCCGCCGCGGGCCCTCCCTTACAGCCGCCGCGCCTGCCCGTACCGCCCGCCGCCGCGCCTGCTCGTTAGGCACGCAGCGGGTCCTCCCTTAAAGCCGCCGTGGGCCCTCCCTTACAGCCGCCGCGCCTGCCAGTTCAGCCAGCCGC